AGAAAAAAAAAGATCGAGTTGGTTAAACAGTCTTTAACGGCCTTCTCCGCACAGGTACCGCTGCACCTGTGCTCCCGGTTATCGGCTTGGTCCCGATGGACATAGCTGCAGATTGGATCGTGACAATGAGGGAACGCTGTTCGTCGCTCTGGGCCATGAGGTATTGTGAGCGAGCCCAGTCAGCTTCTCATTAATAAACTACTATAGTACTGACTCTAAGGTCCGCACAATGCCGCTGTTCGAATCCAGGACATCCCATGAAGGCTACGAGACGGCTCAATCTCTCGGTTCCCACGGAGTCGTTCGTTCCATCGATTTTGTTGTGAATCGCCAGCTCATCTATCTTGCAATTTCCGGCTCTGATCATAGAGGAGAAGTGGTGAGTCTTTCGGCATTCCTTGCTATGACTGTATCGAAGGCCGGCTATAAATACAGTTCAGGCGGTATCAGTGGGAGGATTATTGCGAGTGGTTCGGGAGAATATCATCGGAGTGGGACAGATAGCCGTGGATTGGATGGGCAACAACTTTTTCCTCACGCAGCGCTGTAAGTTTTCAATAGGAGTCTGGTTTACAAGAAAAGATGCGGCGTATTCGTCTGAGAACCCCTCCCTGGGTGAATGTTCGGACTGAATTACGCATTGTGAGCCTACACATGATGTTTTACATGGAAGTGGGAGGGGAGAGAATCGGAAATTAATAATGCTACCGGGGACAGAAGGAGTGTTTTAGAAATCAATAGCCCTATCTGAGACCTGATCTGTGGACAGTACAGATGATGTACCTTCCATAGATCATGTCTTAGATAGGGATATTATTGGTCTCAGATAGGTGTTACTTCTGTCAGTGAGCATCAACTTTGATCGACGTAGCACAGTAGTTTGAACCAGCGACAAAAATGACTTCTTTCACAGATCCGTCGCTTTCGCCAGGAATTAGTGTTTGCACTCAAGACGGCTTTTTCTGTCGAAAAATTGTTAAGGGACAAATGGCTGACATGAACGATCCCAGTAAACGACAACATTACCAAGGTGAGGTCTGTCTGAATATACTCTGCGATAGGTCAGCGAGTTTAGATTCAGAAGTCAGGAGATCCTGAAAATTTTCAGGAATCGCCTTACATCCTCAGAGAGGTGCCATGGTATGGATCGAATCGTACGCCAATCGAAATCGTATAATGAGCGCAAATATGGATGGCACAAATGTACTACAGCCGATTGGAATTCCTTGGTAAGTACTTCCCAAGGCATGTCATGCCAATTTCAGCCGTTTAGGTTCGAGTACTCGTCGAAAATAAGCTTGAATATCCGACTGGAATAGCTATTGATCTGATCACGAGCGACGTTTACTTTGGTGATGTCGAACGGGAGATGATTGAACGGGTGAATCTGGACACTCGGGAAAGGTACGTTTCCTGGCCTCAGTTATGTGGTCTTGGTCCCAGTTCACTCATAAAGGTGACAACCTTATGCTAGTTGTCTCGCCGTGCAGCGATCGCACTGGATAGTTGTCTCATCGTGAGACAACTATCCAGTGCGGCTGATCACTTCATCTTTTGATGGTCGCTCTGGTAGTGCTTCTACATGTGGCTCAATTCTAGGACAGTGGTGCTCACCCAGGGCGTGCATCATCCTTACGATCTCAAATATTTCAACGGGTTCTTATACTGGAGCGATTGGTGAGTTTCTTGTTGGGTTATTCCCAGTTGCTTCTTCGAATCGAAGCGCTTAGGGGTTCTTCATCATTGAAAGTCGCCGAGCTGAGCATCCATCACAGTTCTGCTCATCTGATTCATTCCTTCACCGCTCTGCCTTTCGGTCTTGCTATTAATCACTCAATGTATCAGGTAAATCCATTGACTAAAGCATAGATAATACGTCAGGGTGCGAACTTCCCACTTCCAGCCATCGCCATCCTCATTTCCTTGTCAGCTCACCACCTGTCAGTGGATGTGTGTATCCATCCCCAATGCAGAGGGCGACCTACAGGCAAAGTGTCTTTGTCCCGATGGTTACGTCGACAAGCAGGATGGCGATTGTGCACCTCTACGTGAATCAGTGGTCGAAGACGTTGAAGGAATTACGGACGAAGACATCCATAAAACCGTTGTCCTTGTAAGTTTGGATCAAACGATGAGCCAATGTTTTGAGGTTAAACTGATCGTGATTTCATTCTTCCCAATGAAGAACGACTCGCTCAGGAGTGGCAAACTGGAGCTCAAAACGCTCAAGTCACTGCATTCATACCCGGCGTCAGCCGATGGGCAACAGGTGACGCACCGGCTTTGATCAGTATATCACGTGGTCGATAATCCATGCTGGGATGGTCGTTCCGCTTCTTTCTTTTCCGTACCTCAGTTTATTACTGCTTACTTGCACTACTCACCGGATTGTGCTAAAAGTAGAGGTGGTAGTGGCTTGCCTAACGGTTTGGAATACGATGTCCCAGTGTGAGTTGCATGGGATATCGACTTGATAGCGGACCAATCGCAGCCGACGCTGTTGCCCATCGACCATCGCGAAGTATGGATGCAGCCAGTGCGGGCCTGATTTGTACCAGCCATGCCCTAGTGCAGTAGTGTCCTACACTGGAATCGAATCCATGCTCCTCTGTAAAGACAAAAACTTGAGAAGACTTTTGATTTGCTTGCAAGTTGCTTTCAGGATCTATCTCACGTTGGTGTAGCATGGATGAAAGAGCGTTGTGATAATGGTGATGGTTGTCTGAATGGCGGTGAATGCCAGGATATAAAGAATGAACATGGCCGAGTAACAAAGATTGTTTGCAAGTATGCTGGTTACCTATTCCATAACAGCCTTCTTCGCCAACTTCGATTTATTCTTACAAGTAATCCATCGATCATTTAGCTGTCCTGCAATGTATGAGGGTGATCGATGTGAACGAAAAAATCCATTCGAAGAAGAGTCCAGTCAGTTTATGCCATCGTCTCGGTCAATGTTCTTCCCACTACTCTTCACGGCTGTTTTTGTGTTGTTCATTGGTGTCGCATTCGTATTGTCCTATCGCTACAACGATCAGATCGGGTACTTGTTTATTTGATTATTTACTGTTTACTAGAGGCACAATAGCACGCAAACTAATATATCGACTGGTAGATGACATACTGATAGAAGATCGGACATACTGATAGAATAGGGCAACCCTTTATGGAACAACTGCCATGAATTGATTTACTGTTGAATATAAAAAAGGTAACGGTAAGGTAAAGTCCAGCAAGGGACAGGGGATGGCCTGGGGGTGCAGGGCTCATGAGGAGGCACCACTGGGCCGATTAAGTTATAACCTTTACCTGAGCCTGCAGAGCGTGGACGTGGTCATCCAGCCTTTTGCGAAGTCGGGTTCCTAAATTGTATAGCCTTACCGGGTAGGCTCCTGAAAACCCAATTAAATGTAGTGTCAAGTCTGTATAGACCCCAATATGGACCCAGAAATTCAACCAATCCTGGTTTCAGCAAAGCGTCGAAGACCGTAACCAACCTGGTGGAACGACGAGCCAAACGGATCCCTCCTATCCTTCCGAAAATCCTCCCATTTATCCATTCAATACGAGATCGATTCTTTACAACTGTAACGGGAGCCAGGTACCTTTTGTGTATCGTATTTGTGTGTTTATATTTACTTGTTTATCTGTTGTGCAACAATGAGGACAGCATTTATCCATTCAGAAATCTTCACCGGAAAGGTTCAGGAGTTTTACGTAAGGACTTCAGCAATCCTCTGTTCAACGACGATAGGTCATCGACAGGTTCGGTTCCTGAGGAGGCACCTACAAATGAGGTACAGCACTGAGATGATGGTCCGTTAGGTCATAGGGCTTTACCTGACAGTAATGTTGCCTTGTTTCAGTTAGCGTACAGTAATCCAATTTTTGCGGATGAAAATACCCATGCGGCACCATTTTCTGGGATACAAGTTACCTACACTAATAAGTTTGCGACGTAATGGAAACCACCTAAGGAAGAAACGAAAAGGAAGAAAATAAATCTAAGCACGAGTCTGTGATAATAAGTACAATGGAGTTTCTATGTTATGTTTTACCTTTATAAAAATTTGTAGAATGAAAAAATGGTTTTTTCTGCCATGCTATTACATCGGTCTTACCGAAAAGTGAGGAGACTTGTTAGAAGGTAAGTAGTTTGAACATGATCATCAGCTTGCCCACATTTTCATACGGATTTCCCTCAAGGTTGTAAGAATGGGAAGTGAGCACAGTCCTTCTCACCATGATGAATTTACATCTGTGTCTAAGTAGGGGTTGGCGAGATGATTCTAGGCTCGTCAGGATCTCCTCGTCTCGGAGCCTTAGTTCTGCGATGTAAAACCCTTTTCAGATTAGAATATACAACGAATTTCGCGTCCTCATCACTGGATATCCCGTACTATCCACTCCAATAGCCTTGTCCTAGATAGGGCTCTACAAAAAAGGTAGGGTATGAATACTCAGGCAGTGAAATAGGTATACTCCATGCGGAACAAGGCAAACTACACATAATCGGTATTTAATCCCTTCAACGGCCTATGATCATAGAATACAACGAGGTGATTTGCATAATAAGTTATTTCGCTCAATCAATTCCGGGCGATTGCTTTCTGTATGGTAAAACAAGTGGTTTCTCATTGTTTTTCTTCAAATTATCGGTAAAAAAAACTTTCGGAGAACCAATGTATAGTGAAACATTCAAAATCTACACGTCATACGAGTTTTATGAATCGATACTGGCGAAACTGTGAAGTTCATGGCTCACGAATTGCCCTACTGGGAACCGTTCGCCAGCCTCAGAACTTTAATAACGTGAACGCCTGGGTGTCGCACTCATAAGTACATACTCGAGAGTGGCGATCTTTCTATCTTTTTATCCAGCTTTCAAAGTGAGTAAATCATTGGCCACTACAGCGCATATAAAAGGAAAGGTCAGTAGACAATTCTTGGCAAAAAAAAGTCCAATCACACGTATATACTCCGACTTAATACATTCGTTAGGGTCTACGAGAGAGAGAGAAAGAGAAGAGGTGAAGATTATTTACGTACAATCCATCAATCACTACAAAAGAATAAACAAACACCAGAATATGATTTTCAATGATTATCGCTACTACAATGGCTAAGAACAGCAGCAGCAACAACAATAGCGATAGGAAAAAACAAATCGAGACGACGAAGAGCTATAATTACGCTAAAACGATAACGTATAATGAAACATGACGTCTGGAAAAAAACGCAGGACGACGAAAACAAATCCTAGTTTGGCACGGATTAATCCAGGGCTCTAGATTAGCCAAAGAACACCTATTAAATATGGGGGAACACAACAACACTAGTGAAACAGAGATGGTTAAGGGCTCACAACTAATCATCAATGGATGATAAAGAGAAGTTCGTAAGAAGAGGACAAAATGTGCATACAAGAACCGGCTGCCTGAAGCGAAAACATTGTCAAACATGAAAGAAGACATTTTTATAGGTAAAAGTAGAATGATACGATAAATTAACTCACGACGAAAACAGAACAGCAAAGCTAGACATTTGAGCAACGTGTATCACAGTGATCCACATTCATACTGGAAGAATTGAACCTAAAAATAACAAGAATTGAATCTAAAAATAACAACTCAAGAATGTTTTGAAACTGTTGAAAGCTAAAACACAAGTTATAATGTAAACACACGCACCTACCCATCACGCAGTGAACTCCGTGGGTGGAGCTTCTTCTTCCTCTTCCGGACCATTTCCGGGCGATTTTTCTTTTCCTGCTGATTGCCGTGTGTCATCGTCAGAATGTAAATCGTCCCGCTAAATTACAGCCATTATTCTTCAAACACTTCAGCCGAACAGTTACAGGCGACTACTTGCCATCAATAAGATAGAATTAGCGAACAAAACCAAGAAATGAGTCCGTACACAACTTAACTGCTACAATAAGTTATCAAGTGAAGAGGAAGAAGCTTGGAAAGTAATTTGGAAAGTAATGTGAATAGCTATAATGTGAACGGCTATAACAGACGATATGGCGTAAGGTAAATCAGCCCTTTTGACTCGTATTCTTTCATCGAACTAAATAGCTACGTAATTGCTGCTCTGTTCACCACTTAGTGGGCTCTCACTAGCCCGCTCACCGCTCAATTTCCCCATCCGTCGCCCATTTCAAGACCACACCCCTTCCCAATATTTTCTCCTGCACACCGATAGACGGAAATAGATACGAACAACTCCGAGTTTTTTCCACAATCTTCCCATAGTCAAAAAATAAAAAACGACCAGCAGATGCTTCTTGGAAAAGACTGGAGGGTATAAATCATTCAGAAAGAAATTGGAAGAATAATTTGAAACTAAGAACACATTACGCTGACAAACCTTTGATTGATCAGCGCGAGATGGTCGCGCACATTTCGATACAAGATGTTCCGGACTTTGCTTTTGAAGCAGTCCAACAATTACTACCTTAACATATAAGTCAAAATAGTCTCGTTGAAAACAAAGCAATGGGGCAAACACACCGTCATATTATCACATCCTACTCCTCCCATTTGTGAATCCGGTGCAAGACATCGTGTAAGCAATTCTTCACAAATCTGAAGCAGCTCACTTCAATATCAATATGACTGCGATTCGCGAGTCACGTGCATGACTGAACATCAGTTGCGAACAGTCGATCGTAATACATAACGAGCGTACTTACGAAATGGCACATAAATAATTGATAAAGTATAACGGCGAACTGCACCCAATAGAAAAACCACTTCCTTATCACAAGAGAAACGGTGCTACCTAACCACACATCTAATCGCAGCGTCAGGCTAAAATGCGCATTACAACTCGGGCAAGCTTTGAAGGGAAGCTATAAATCTCAGATCTTAAGAGAGATACATGGAGCCAATATTACTATGCTGAGCAAGCAGGTAGTTGCATTGACAGGGGTAGATAGGGATGAAAATGAAAACGGCCCTTTGTACATCCTATAATCATTTAAGGTATTATTGCCACCGTTTTGAAGTAGTTAAATTCAATCTGATTTCCCACTCCAACAAAGTCCAATGAATTCTGAAACGCATTGCTAAACACTTTGATTCGAAAGACGCCCGAAAAAGTCAATCTTTCGCTCATGTAACGGTTCGCTTCCCTTGTCAATAGTTTGGCCGATCATCATCACAAATGTGTCAGCAAATAGACCACGAGACCAACTAGACATTTCTCACGTCTCACAGCTCTTCAGAACAAAATAAAGGTCTTTAACAACGAGTCAAAGTACTGTCTCTCCATAAGTAATCTTTCAAATATCAATGTAATGAGCACTTACAGTTTGTGGATCCCTGTTCTCCGCGAGCCTTTCCCGCACAAAGTCGACTACTTCCTGATTACTTAGAACGTCCCAAATACCATCACATGCTAGTACTACAAACTCGTGATCTTCCGTCACGTTCTCCGAGATCACATCCGGATACGCTGAAATATATTAATGACAGGACAGGGAACAGAAAGCGTTGTTTTTGGGTTACATCCAGAGCAATAGATCAAACATGAAAAAAGCAGAACCGGAGAACCGCACATAGATTATACACTTTCGACTCTTCTTGCTCGAATGAAATGAATGAAGATAACGAGAACACGAGAGCGAAAACGAAAAAGGAAAAACAGACGAAGACAAGCATTGGGAACGATCAAGACGTGCAGAACGTAAGATTCAGAATCGACTTTTTTATGACCAGCTAATCTCTGTCCAAAGATATTGGAAATGAAGCAGATAGAAGGAAATAGATGATAATAATGGCAAATTCCCTGTCCTCTAGGGTAATCTCGCGAAGTGAAAAATACAAAAATGAAGAATATATGGTACAAATAATATTAAGTGCTCACATTTCTGGCTAAACCCTGTGTCACTTAGCTCAAACCACACGTGTTTACGCAGATTCAAAAAAAAAACACGTTGGCGAGAGCATATCATTATAACGAACCTGTAATTGTATGCACGTGCCTAAATCTCCAGCCAATAAACAAGCGCCGAAATCGAAAAACATTTTTCATGATGAACTCAAGAAATCCCGAAAATCAAAGATGAATCAAGGAACCGTCGCTTTCGCGCTGTTTCCAATAGTGATAGAGATTTAGGCAACAAAAATCATACCCACTGAGGTAAAGTGTAGCTTCTATTAATGAACTGACGTAAAAGAGTGATCAAATAAAGGAACTCAACAAAAAGCAGATTAGTTGAACATATAAAGTAATTCAAACTGGTATAGTGGACTACTCACCCGTTACGATTTGTTGTTCAGGTGGAATAGCATCATTCCGTTTGAATACAAAATCACCAAGGGCTCGAGAAAGTGCGAGATTGCCATTGACTCGGTTGAACTCAACCCACCCACCAGCAGCGAGTATACGTTTCGCCTGTCAAAACAAATGATATCATGAAATGATTTAACAACAAAACAAGATAAATGTTGGAAGTGAGCATTTACAACACGAAGGAAAGTTTAAACCTGAATCTTTAAAAAACCCAATCACCAATCACCAGACAAAAAAATCTTTTTATCCCTCGATGGTCAATCGATTCATGAGTTAATGATTAAAAGATTGATGAAGATGAATGTACAAATCAGAATTCGTATCTCAGACGAAAATTTGCCTCCGAACGATATTTAGTGTTTAGTAGTAACAAAATAAAAATTTGTACCTCTTTTTCATTAGCAGGCTTATGATCGAAAGACAGTGGACGAGCTTCACCACAAACAGACACTACAGCTCGAGAATCGCCTACGTTTGCTGGAACAAGATCATAAGCGAAATATGAACCGAAGATTGTAAATAATGTTTATTGCACAGGTTAACACCCATGCTATAATAACGAAAAGATAATGAAGGAATCAGATGTAAACAGAGCTTACCACAGTGTATAACATCATCTTTAATTAGAACTACAACTGCTGTGGCACCAGAGACATCGTCTCGCATTTCATCATCAGAACGCATTTGTTCATCGAGCGCTAAGAAACCCTTCCGCAAGGCTTCTGGTAGATTTCCTTGAGCTGTAAAATGGTGCTTTGCAGCTGGAGAAATTCAACACCTCTCCATAATATGAGATTTCTCGACGGAGACCGCTACATACCATAATCTTCTTGCTGTAGTATTTGCTTGTGTAGATTGATACCAGCAAATTGTGACGCTTTTGGACCACCATGACCATCATAAACCGCAAAAAATGCACATCTCGGGTCGTCCGGTAATGACAATAGATGCGTGTGTGCATCTTCCATATCTACAACCATTTATGCTTGTATGAAAAACCTTGTGCAGATTACGAAGATTTGACAACCTTGGGCCAAAAAATTAGGTTTCTACGGGCCTGTCATATCGATTACGACAGCAAATGTTTTTTATCCTCTCTGGGAGGCTTCATGATGATGTCTGGATTTGTATTTGGTCTACATACTAACCTAATGACTGCCACTCAATGCACAATTCATTTCTTATGTTTCAGATTAATTGAGGTTCAGTACTGATGCAATTATTTTCTTTCCTTCTTCCAGATGAGCCTGATACCATTAAACAAGCACCGTAGAACGAGAAGGGGTTCAGTGGTCTTTAACAGTTCTGGGCCCTCAGGATTTGGGCCCAGAACTGTGTCCGATTTCAGGTCAAACCAACATTACTCCTCTTCATTCCCTCACGTCATTTTTCAACCGTTTTAGGAATCACCCACTTTTATGCCATTTGGCAAATAAGCACATAAATCAGTTAACCATGCATAAAACTCCTAAGGTTACCAGGAACTACTGTTACCCTCGATCAATTCTAATCGTTGTACGCTAGTGCTGAAGCTTATCAGAGATCTTTATCAGTAAAGATCCGCTGCGTCGCCGAATTTTTGAAATTATAGGGCAGCACGTGCTATAAGTTGCTAAACTTAACGATTCCACGACTTCCACTTATCTTTGCCAAGTCGGTGGATGTTGTGGAATCGTTAACTTCAGCAACTAACAACTGCACAACCATGCTCTCGCCATATGAAAAAAAGTAGTTGTCAAAAGCTGAACGTCGCCGAATCATATTTCAATCATTTTCAAAATTTCAGCAAATTTAGGGTATGCAACCAGCTATTTCGTTCGATAGCCTCACTGACAACCCTTGCAAGGGGCAAAACCAATAATAAGTCGAATGGAAAACTTCATGGTTGGCAAAAACAATAAGCTCGTTCGCAGCTTGCACCTGTGGCACCTCTAGGCCAGATGTCAATAGACTTTTATGAGTATCCTTCCTCTGCCTTTTCGCTAATTCTTTCCAGGAACGAGCTAATTCCATGGGACACCTTCCCCAGAAACCCAGTGAAGAAGCAGGGACAAGCTGTGACACATAGCGACAAGGGGAAGATTCAGTAAGGGAAGGTCCAGGAAGGCAATACTTCCAGATAAATGGTTCAAAGAGTGAAACAACTAGTGGTCATAACCATTTAGAATCAAAATTTGACTCACTTATTCGCCATCCTTGCATGCACGAACTCCCTACTGTGAATAAATCGTTGATACATGATGCAGACTCCTTAGTCGTTACTGGCTCACTCAGCGTTTGTCCCATTTATGAGTATCCAGAATTATATTTGTGAACTACCTGAACGAATATGCACTTGAAAATGTGTAAACGGAAGCCAGCACTAACGATGCGAAAACAACGTTATCGATCGGTGAACGAACTGAACGCGAGTGCAGGAGAACTCACAAACAAGAGAAACGAAAATGAATAATTTGGCATTTCGAAAGCAATATTTCACCGATATCGGAAGCAACTTAGTTCGCTGTGAGATAAGCCAGACGCGAAACTATCGGAAGAAGGGCATACTAAAGTTTAATGCAATGTCCCATTAAAAAGTCGAGGAGCTCTAAAGTATTGATTAATCTAAGAATCTAAGATTTCATTGAGACCCAAACAAGCTATGAGATGAAAACCAAATTCTTCAAAACAATCAATAACAGCTGGCAACTCAATCCCGCAGGTATTGGTTTACCGGAATTTCTCTTTTTACAAACTTCTGAAGCTTCGAAGGATTGTTCTTTCCTGAAATTTGAGAACATAAATGCGTGCACTGGGAAATTCCAAGTGACGATAAATTACGAAGAATTCAAGGAAGCTCGTGTTTTAGCCTCACTTCTGACTCAAGTCAAGCCTTATTTGGTAGTGATGCAGTTGTGACCTTTAGACGAACGCTTGAGGGCATTACTCTGGAAAATTGTAATTGCACTCTTT